TATGAACTTTTGATGCTCATCTCCGCTGAGGAACGTCTGGCCGTGCAGAGTCCTTGCTACAGCCCATGCGAGGCTCGTCACGATCGTAGCAAGTTCGACATCAGATGTATTGCTCGAAAGTACCGGTGCTATTATCTGTTGCCAGATCATACGTGCTGTCGGCGTCCAAGCGTGCAATATAGCTGCATTCGATTTCTCGGCGAAATCAATACAGCTCACCGTCCAAGAGATATTATTCAGAGCCGTTAGAGCATGACCACGAATTAGCTCTGAGGTCTCGTCGTCGCCACCATTTGCACGAACAATTTTCACAACTTGTGGAACTGCCTTCTGGATAAGCTCTTTCAGGGTAGGCAAGTCATCAATGCCCTCGATCTCGTCGTCGCCATCGTCTGCTCCAGTGACCATTTCCATGTCTGCTTCCATTTCGTCTTGGTCCATCTCTTCGTCCTCCCCATTCTCTTCATCGGATTCCTGGTCAAAAACGTTCTCCTCGCTATCAGCCTCCATAGCATCTGCCTTTTCTCTCCTTTTTCCTTTCTTGTTCCCCAACTCCAGGGTCTGCTGTAGGGTAGTACCGATAGATGCCAGAATCTCAAGAGCCAGCCGCAAAACCTCGGCTGGGCTTGTCGAGCTGTTGCCATTTGTCATGTTCCCGCTGGATTGAGTGTGCTCGAGTGTCTGAGAAAGCGTGGGGACGAGAACAGCGTCGCAAGCACCATCCTTGCCCGGAGTATAATCATTCCATTGCACCATAGGGAATATGTTGTGCAACACACCGCAAGCTAAGACCGCCTTATAGCCATTGCTATTCTTGAATGCGATGAGCTGTTTATAACACTTAGTGGTGTTATCAGCAAGCAGCACTTCCGCAAACTGTTTGTTGTCCTCGGAAAGCGTGATCATACACGAGAGGGCACTATTCAAGACTGGTGCGGTTGTGAAACCTAACGTGACGAGGGTAAATAGAAACCGAAGTATTTGCTCATTGCGAGTGGCCGCATCTAGAGCTTCATCTTGTGATTCAGCTAGAGCTGATAGTATAGCAGTAAGTGACTCTGCAATCCGCCAGACGAAATTCTGCTCAGCTTTAGTGGTCTTGCTGAAAGCAGGACTTGTTGACGTGAGAGTAGCTGTTATCTATGTGAGGGTCAGTAAATTATGATATGATCATTTAACCTTTTGCTCTAAAGGTGTTCAAATCTTACCTTCGCACAGGCATGCTGAATAGCAGTTAGAACATCAACTCGATATAGGTGGATACAGAAGTCTGCCTCTTCCTCAGCTGTAAGGATGCGGAGAATTTCCCATCCCGCTGCCCGACTCTCTAGACTTGCATCGGTTAGAGTCTCATTGAGAAGAATATGAACAACCTTCTCTCGTAGAAGTAGTTTCCGGCATTTGGTATCCTGAACTATGTTGGCGATGGCCCCAGCAGCGGCAGTCCTATATTTTGGCTCGGTGCTCTGGAGATCCTTCAGAACAGGCAAAATACTTTTCTCTCTTATCGCTGCTAATTCTGGGTCCGAGGGTGGCTTTACTGGTTTAGCAATTGGATCGGAGCGCTGGCCACCCTTCGCCCTGTTACGGCGGGATTTGCCCATAGTGAAAAGGCAATAGGATTTTAGAAAAGATTTGCTTAAACTAGGAGGTAGTTAATGTCTTTTAACTTGGAAAGGGGGTTCACCAAATTTTGGTAGCTTTAACAGGCCAGAAACGTCGAAAGATGGACACTTACACGTGAAGCTGAATTTTAATTTTCTTAGCTAGAAAAATTTCCAAAGATTTCCCAAGGCTTGTCTTGTATGCAAGACTTGCAAGGTGCGTTAAGGCTTAACGTACCTAAGGTAACTACCCCACTATCAAACTTTACGATACGGATGATGCACGTACAAGAGCTATGTAAAATGTACCTAGGTACCTACCTATGTGAGCTTTATGTGGGGTTTATCTGCCAAGCTTCCGTCGTGGGGCTTATCGTAACTGACGGAGCTCTATTTTCGAGGCAAGTCTGAAGTAGTTCCACAGTCCCGCAGTCCCGCAGTCCCGTCATATTAAACCTTACAAGTATCTCATTTGTAGGTATATAACCTATACGAATACCCATGGGCCATGCAACATAACACGTTTTCTGTAATAAGATCATCCGGTTCGCGGGAATTGTAAAACTAAGCTGGGACCCTTAAAAAGCAACGGGATCGGCACTCCTAAGAGCTTCGTCGTCGCTCAGCCCCAAACTTCCATAGTTGGACTTTAGATAACTAAACTTTTTGTCGCCAACCACATCTAATTAATCCATCTTTTTACTACGAAACCTTTACTCAATCTTGGGGTTGCAATTTTGAGATGCGGCTTTCAACGCCTCTGCCACCCTCAAGGACCGCGCTGTGATATCCGCCTAGCTTGCCCATCTTCTGCTCGCGCTGAAGGGCCCGTGTCGAAGTTTAGGGTATGTCTGCGTGGGGGAAGATGCGAGGATTCTTCCTCAGCGAGGAGGAGCTGGGTAAGAAGGATGATGACCATAAGCCCTTTAAGAATGGCACTGGCTTGCGACAGCCTAATTGGCATCCTGCTAGAGTCCCTCCGCGGCGGTCGCTCAAACGTATAGCTATCGCGCTTGTCGTAGCTGTGGCCATCTATCTCTTTATCAAGAATATACCCGACCTCGGTCCTAACGCACAGATGCGCCGTCCAAGCTACACTTACCTGGACGACCTCGATGCTGCTACTCCCAAGCGCCCGTCTTACGAACGGCCTAAGTCCTCTCCGGCTAAACCGCATGCCCGTCCGCCGAACACGCCCGAGCGTAATTTGAACGGACCCGTCAAGTTCCTTGAACTGGCGCAGACACTACATGCTATCGGCGGCACAAAGGGGACTATGGCGATTAATAGGAACGTTCTATTTGCGACCTCGAGTCTTAAGAGCGCGGCGACGCTACTGCCGATTGCTTGCCAGATGGGATTGGAACTGCAGAATTACGTACATTTTGCCCTGATGAGTCGGAGCGATATTGACATACGAGACCTGCGGAAACTTAACGGCATCGACGATTCATGCCACATCATATTCCACGGTACGATACCTGTAAAGGTTATGATGACGTGAACGCCTACTAACTTAATTGTAAGATGCGCGTACCGAGTATGCTCAGATATCGACAGACGATCGGATGGAAAATGCGGTATTTCGAGCGTTACGTGCGTATTATTTCTCTCGCGGCATAGGCGCAGTTACTTATGTGTATTTCAGATCACATCTTTTATTATATGCACCCTCAAGCTATTTTTGTAGATGGTTCGAATGACGAGGAACCCTTCTTCCGACGGGCCGCACAGCAGCACACGAATGTCAAGAAGAATACTTTAATTGAGCTACCGCGTGGTTCCGGGAAAAGGCTCGAGTGGCTAACAAAGCTCGATAGTCAAGCTTTACGCAGTAAGATATAATTCACCACCTAACCCTAACTGTGCCTAGCATTACTGACCGTATTTTTAAGTGTGGAATAAAGTGCATATTGATATTCTTATTCATGCAGTACCGGGCACTTCGGGGAGCTTGATCAGACTTCTTAGATCACTTGGTGCTGCGGATTATACTTCGGGTTCGGTCCCTCATCTCACCATCGAGCTCCCTCACGACATTGACTATTCAACTAAACACTTTCTCGAAACGTTCGCCTGGCCACCTGCCCATGTCCCTAACCCGACTAATGCACGGCATCTTTCTCTCCGCCATCGTATACCTCACAAGAGGATGAACGAGGAGGAAAGTTCTGCCCGTTTCCTTGAATCTTTCTGGCCGGCCCAGGCAGAACTCTCACACATATTAGTACTTTCTCCGCAAGCCGAATTATCCCCTGATTTCCTCCATTGTAAGTACTATGCCCCCTCTTACAAGAGTACAATTTTGATTAACCCCTATAGACTTAAAATATTCTTTATTGGAATATAAATACTCTGCTATTTCCACCCACCAGCACTGGGATCGCCGGCTTTTTGGCATCAGCCTCGAACAACCACTCCAGCTACTAGACGGAAAAGGCTCATTTTCTCCGCCTTCAATTCTACAAAACTCCCAGTCTAGTGATGTTCCACAGAACGAAGTTTCAACTTCGTTCCTGTGGCAAGCACCCACCAGCAATGCTGTGCTTTTCCTAGGCGACAAATGGGTGGAGCTACACGATTTTGTCTCCAGATCACTAGAAGCTAAGCAGAAGTCGGACCCTGTCCCAGCGCTCTTATCAGAAAAGGTCGTGAGCATGCAACATCCTTCTTGGCTGGAATATGCCCTAAGACTCGCCCGAGCACGCGGCTATTGGATATTGTATCCCGGTGTTGATACCGCTAGGAACCTAGCCACGGTCCATAGAGAGCTGAAGCATATACCCGAGGAGTATGCTACTAAAGAAAATTCGAAGCCGCTCTTGGCAGACGACGCAACCGAGGAAGAGATCGAAAACGTTAGACAAAAGATCCGAGCAGGGTCGGAGATTACCCTTGCCCCGATATCCCTGCTCGACAGTCTTCCTAATCAAGGAAGCCTGCGCCCATTTGGGGACTTGCCCATACTAGCTTGGGATGGCCAAAAAACAGATTTCGAAGAACTGAACTCCCTCTCCGCCAGGTATTCGGCTGAATTCAGAGAGAAAGCTGGTAATTGTGGGGCAGAACCTGCAGAAAAGTTGAAAGAGAAGGAGCGTTTGTCGACACAAGACCTATTCTGTTATACAGAATAAAGGCTGTCATAACAAGCGAGCTATTAACATAGTCTTTGGAGCTTTGGAAGAAGCTTCGATATACCCTCAGCACCGTCGCCCACAAGGCTATATGTAGTTGGAGTTATTGAAACAGCGGGAACTGGCATTTGATCATGGTGTTTGGCGTACTTTGCCCGGGATACAGGGTACATATATCAACAGATTCATGAAGGCAGATCATGTATATATAACTTCAGAAGTCAAATGGACAAGAAGACAGCTAGAGTCGAGAAGATTGCAGTTATTCTTCTGCCTGTGCTTTAGTGATTACCAACAGTATAACACAAGTGCCCACGATGGACAATGCGATAAGTGTCATGATCTTTGCATCTTATCAGTTCCAGATCTATTCAAAGGGGGTCACGGTAGCACGTGAAAACTCACAGATTGCGTCCTCCAGCCTGTCTGGACTATAGCCACTTTCCTACTATACTTATCCAGAGTCTCTGCTCGCGGTCAACCATTAGCAATCTATACGATCTATAGTGAGAAGCTAGAGTGCACGAACTAATATAATTTCCGAGCCCGAGAATCAAGCAAGCCAGAGATAGCAGCCAGAAAACGATGCCGAGCGGCTGGGCCATGCGCAGCTCAAGGTCTGAGGGCTGCGATTTAAGGTGGAAGGACAGCACGATGGCGATGGCGACAATGGCCATGTAGACGGAGAGCCGTAGGTAGGATAAGAAAGCTATCCCGGGGCGGGTCTTGTTAGCGCTTTCTTTTTCTTTTTCTTTTTCTTTTTTTGACTTATAGTAAACGATGGTAGTAGAGAAAGAACCAACTTCGCTCATTGGCGCAATGATCACGCGTGTCGCTGCTCTCGTTCTCGACGAGCAGCGGGCCGAGGATTGGCCAGCTCCAGAATACGTTACTGATAGATGAGTCGTTGACCTCGACCGGGCGGCTGAGCTCCGCGAGCGAAAGGCCGCCGCAGCAGCAGGAACGCGATGGCCGGGGGTCTTCGGGGTCGGGTTGGAGGATGGGCATATTAATGAATTAATTATTAAGTATGTTAGGCTAAGTAGGTAGGTACCTAAGGTAAAAAAAAATATTAACCTAGATAATATCGAAGTTTCATCTGTTTTGTTATTATTATTAGGTAGCGTGGAGGTAAAGATGCTATGATTGGCGATATACCTAACCTAGGAGGTAGGTATATTGAAATGGATCAAAGGCTTAAAACGGTAGAATCTGGGGACTGGCGCGCGAACCAATGATAAGCGGGGTTATGAACAACTATGCATGTACAATACCTACCTAGGTTAGGTACGTACATATCCATCCCATTGACCGCCGGACATGGGTCTTAAACAATATCCACACCTTTCCCAAACATTCTGACATTTCATTGAAAATCGAACATGGGTCTTAAAATACTCGACGTTTTTAACGAATTAAAAAAGAGAAATAAAGTATATTTACCATCTTATCTTGGTTGTTGTGGATTCGATCGCAGGTTTTCCTATGTACATACATACATAGTATGGTAGCAAGCTTGATTCTTTAAAATTATTGGACAAAGTAATAGATGAAGGAAGTATGGATATTTTTAAGACCCATGTCCGGCGGTCAATGGGATAGCTTACACCTATCGCCTAATGTAATCCGTACGCAGATAGAAGTTCAAGTTACGTACATGGTATTCCATTCCTGTCTCACCTTCTTCCCGATATGTACACTTCCAGCCCACATTAGCAGCGCCGTACGTATCTACCCGCTTGAGCTAGACCGAGATAAGACAAATATATGACGGCGCACCTGAGAGCGAGCTCCGGTGGCGGCCAATCAAGCGGGGGCCAAGCCGGTGTAAATCTCGATTGCTTTCAAAACTGGGGACAGATGTAAAACTGGAGATGATATTGAATCAACCTAACCTAGGTAGGCTTATCGTGAATCTACTGGGTTAGATAGTAGATAGTGGTGTATCATATCTTATGCTTTTCCTGAACCATCATCTCAATATATAAACTAGGGGCCCTTGAATGATGTATTTTAAATAGCATCTTCCCACTAGAAAAAGAACTTGCGCTTTGAACTTGATAAACATTAATTAGCACGAATATTGTTTCGCGCGCCTCCTGTTGTTGATGTAGCTGAACCGAATTTCCTTGCTTTTTTAAGTGTCTTATTGAAAAGCCTTGCTCTCCTTGAAGTCACCTATAAGACGACAAGATACCTAATTCTAAACCGATTCCTTCAAAGAGGAGGGGGCTGGACATGGCTTCGTCTTTCAAGCCCGCTTCGCCAATAGCGCAGGAGATACTGGCTAGTGATCTGGCTGAATGCTCCGAGGATGAGATAGTCGATGATGCCTTCGATGACAGGTCCGAGTCCGAGTTTGAAACTGAAAGTGGACCTGTCTTATATACGCAACCTACTGGAATGGCCTTTGGGTATAGACGACCGAGTCTTGTAACCGACCCGGTCAGCGAACCTATTCTTACCAGAGCCGTAAAGAGGCAGTCTCGTGATGCTGAACGCAGTTTGCTAAGAGACAACCACATCATTCCACCTAAACATATCCCAGAAGAACGGCCCGGGACATTTTCGAGGCTGTATAAGGCCATGTTCAGCACCAAGATTCGCAAATTGCCAGAAGATGACGAGGCCCCTAGGATCACGGCTCGACCCTCCGAGACCTCACCTCTACTAGCTGGCACTGTAGGGCCGTCGGCCTTACACCATGAGAACCTAAATGAGCAGTGGGATGCCGCGGTGGCCTCTGGGATGATAGAGACCACCTGGCAGAGGGAGGCCAAGACTATTGCGATTTATTCGCGGTCGTTAATCTTGACATTTCTATTGCAGTATAGCATCAATATCACTAGTATTTTTGCCGTCGGGCGGATTGGAAAAATCGAGCTGGGTGCCGTGAGTTGTAAGTTGGAAGGCCTTGTTCTCGTTCGTCTTCCGGCCATTGCTAATGAATCGTAGTGGGCACCATGACAGCGAATATTTGCTGCTACGCTCCAATGCAAGGCCTAGCAACAAGTCTGGATACTCTCTGCGCACAGGCATACGGATCTGGCCACAAGCATTTAGTAGGTCTACAGCTCCAGAGGATGACTTACTTCTTGTGGTCGCTCGTTGTCCCTGTCGCTGTGCTGTTCTTCTTTGCCGAGGATATACTCCTCCTTATTGTCCCCGAACCGCAATCTGCCGAACTAGCCGGTCTCTACCTTCGTGTTATTATCGCAGGCGTGCCCGGCTTTGTCGCCTTTGAAACAGGCAAGCGGTTTGTCCTATCGCAAGGTTTGTTTATTGCAACAACCTATGTCTTGTTGATTGCGGCTCCCTTAAACATCCTCATGAACTGGCTTCTCGTTTGGCACTTCGGATTCGGATTCGTCGGTGCGCCTATTTCTGTTGCGATAACGCAGACATCAATGCCATTCCTCCTACTCGCCTATGTATTCTTCGTAGACGGTTCCCAATGCTGGGGAGGCTTTACCCGACGTGCTCTCAACAATTGGGGTAAGTTTCAACACGGCATCAATGCAAGTATCGTTCGACGTTGATTAGGTACTAACGTACTCGCAGGTCCTATGATTTGGCTCGCCTTGCCCGGCATGGTGATGGTGTTGGCTGAATGGCTTGCATTTGAAATCCTTACCTTGGCAACAAGCCAATTTGGAACATCTTACCTCGCGGCACAGAGCATCTTGATAACTCTGACGTCAACAACTTTCAATATTCCCTTCCCCGTTTCTATTGCTGCTTCTACGAGGATTGCTAATTTAATAGGGGCTGGGTTAGTCAAAGCTGCCAGAACCTCAGCCAAAGTTGTAAGTTACCTACCTATCTACCCTTCTATACGTATCGGCCAAGCTTTTAAGACATACGGACTAATGAATCCAAGGCATTCGGAGCAGGTTGTATTATTGGATTGTTGAACTTGAGCTTGCTCGCGGGTCTCCGTTATCAACTCCCCCTTCTCTTCACCCGAGATGAAGAGGTAATTGCTATAGTGGCGACGGTCATGCCGCTTGTGGCTGTAATGCAGGTTTTCGATGGCCTCGCAGCTGTTGCTCACGGGTTGCTTCGTGGTATCGGGAAGCAGTCATTTGGTGGTTACGCAAATCTGTCGATCTACTATCTCCTCGCGTTGCCCATATCTTTTGCCACTGCTTTTGCACTTGATTGGAAGCTTATAGGCTTGTGGCTGGGAACTACGATAGGATTGGCCCTGTAAGTTCATTTATTTATCTACGCCTCTGGAAAAATCCCGCACAGGAAGGTTGCTAACCCTTATGAAAGAGTTGCTGCAGTGGAGTTTTGGTATACTTATGTATCGGACTGGGAGCAGTCGGCTCGGGATGCCGAGGATAGGAATGCAGCTGGTTGAACAATGTTTTGAATACCTAATGTAATGTTGGAGATGTAGTCATATTGTATGTTTAAGTAAGGGATAAATGTAATTGTGTAACCTAGGTACATATCAGACTGATTGTGTTAGGTACAGGTATGATTGCGAAGGTCCCCCTTGCTCCATACTATCTTTCGATGATAAACGAAACTTCTTGCCTACATACATATGTTACATAACTACATAGGTTAGGTCATAGTACATACGTAAGAAATTCAATACCTAGTCTAAAGCACCTAGATTCGCACAGTATTCATATTTGGACGTGCTGTTTAACCTTAAATCAGCCAAGAATATATTGATTGGACAACAAGGTAAGATGCATCGCATGAGTGAGGCTGATAGTCTATCGATAGGACATGGATATGTCAATTCCATTATTATTGAGTTAGGTGTGCATAGCGACCGTGCGCTGTGTAACGACCCCTAAAAAAAATCTACATAGTCCGTTTATGTACCTGTGTACCTCGAGGGCAGCGTCCCCGTCTGACGCTTATTGCCCCAGCATTGGCCTTGAAGGTGCTCTTGCGCTATCGATATGCATTTCTCAACTGTATCTAATTCCACAAAAAGTGCTACCCACCCACCGCCCCTCTCCTTTTTCTAGAAGACGAACATAATATTCAATATACCACGATAACTCGGCTACGATGTCTACTACCACGACTGTTACCCAGAATATCCCGACGGCAGAAACTCTGCTCCGTCTTTTTCCAGACATAGATACTAGCTCCGCCGAGCTGGAAGGTCACGATGCAGAACAGATTCGGCTTATGGACGAGGTATGCATTGTCCTCGATAACGACGACAATCCAATTGGGACGGCCAGCAAGAAGCTCTGTATGTAGCAACTCTATAGGAGATGGTAGAAAAACAACTAACCTTCGTAGGCCATCTGATGACAAATATCGACAAGGGCTTACTACACCGCGCCTTTTCCTGCTTTCTCTTCGATGATAAAAATCGATTGCTTCTTCAGCAGCGCGCGTCCGAAAAGATCACATTCCCTGACATGTGGACGAATACGTGCTGCTCTCACCCCTTGGGAATTCCTGGCGAAACCGGTTCCAACCTGCCAGATTCGGTCGACGGTGTTAAGCGCGCTGCGCAACGAAAACTCGACCATGAGCTAGGCATTAAGAAAGAGCAAGTACCATTCGAGGACTTCCACTTCCTAACACGAATCCATTATAAAGCTCCTAGCGACGGTAAATGGGGCGAGCACGAGAGTAAGAAAGTTGTTTTCGATATTAAGAAAGCGATAAAATGCTGATAATCGCCATTAGTTGACTATATCCTTTTTATTAAGGCGAACGTGGATCTCGATGCCAACCCTAACGAAGTAAAGGATACTAAATACGTCACTGCCGAAGAGCTGAAGGCTCTCTTCAACGACCCAAAGCTTAAGTTTACGCCTTGGTTCAAGCTCATATGCGAGTCGATGCTCTTCGAATGGTGGGAAAACCTCGACTCCGGGCTTGAGAAGTACACCAACGAGCAGGAGATTAGGCGCATGTGAAGCGAGGTTATACTTATTAGAGGAAACAAGAGAAGAATCGGATTGCTTACTGATTTCTTTATTCGATTTTTAGAACTCGCCTGAGAAAGGATGGGAAGAAGAACCTTATATACCTACCTTAGGTAGAGTACACTGTTTTATGCCCAATGGCAAACTGCATATTTTCATAGATATCCCCCTTATGCGCTTATACCGTATTTAAAGCGAGGGGTTTACTTTTCAATTATTTCGGAAATGCAAGACCCCGTCAATATCACATCCAATCATCTAACCATATCTACTATGTAATATCCTGATGTAAGATTATCTTCAACCTTGTAATAAGGTGTAATAAGGTATCAGCACACCAAGGTTATCAGCATATCACCGACTCCGCAGCCGTATGTATACCAACCCCGGCCGATCCGGGGGGCCTAGGCTATCTGGGCAGCTACGCTATCTACATACCTACATCTACCTACTGTGCAAAGAAGACAGGTAACCCAGTGCGCCGTTCTTACATAGTAGGTTCACACAAAAGTGTTCACAAAAGTGAGTCGTATCCGATTGATAGGATAACATTAATGGCTTAACCTAACAGACTAAAGATAGTTTAATAGACTAAAGATAGACTAAAGCTCAAACCTTGGATCTAGGGTCTAAGGTCTAGGGTCTAGAGTCTAGGGTCGTAGGGATGACTCTCCCCCAGAACAAACACCGCAACCGCAACCCCACGCCCCGTCTAGGGCTCCCACACGCCTGCAATGAAACACCTGTACGATAGTCAAAACAGGATGGCTGTCAGACCTCAACGTTGGGCCGACCGCCTCAAGCGCTCGTGTAACTGACGTAGGTGGTCGCTCCGGGTTTCCGAACTGCTATCCCTCCCGGCCAGACCGACGTCGAAGTCGAGCCGTCAGGTGACTGCTATAGTATCTATAGTATCTATAGTATCTATAGTATCTATAGACTATAGTAGCATGCCTGCCTACCTAAGGTAGTATACCTAGCTAGGTAAGCTGCAGTCTGTGCCTCCGGTGTGGACGCTATGAGCAAACTTGTAGTGTAGGATGCGTGTAATAATGTGGGATCAGCGTCTGCAACACTGTCTGGAGCGAGGTATGCGAGGTATGCGAGGTATTATCCAAGCCGAATCACTACGACATTCATACCCAATGATAACCACACCATTACCACACCTTAGCAAAGATGTTTGCTCCGTACCAATGGGCAAGTTCCCAAGCCCTCCCACACCAACTCCCCGCGCACGAGACTGGTGTACAATGTATGCAGACAGGTCTGGCAACTCGAGATTCCAATGTGTTGGGTCTGACGCACTGTGACTGCTAAACTAAGAAGCCGGCACACAGTTGTGTGGTGCCCAGATATAGCGTCTAGATATAGTGCCCAGACGGTCGTTGCCGTTATCCGATGCGTACCGACCGACCAATAAACCAAGCCGATATGAGATTCTTTGTCTACTACTTCGTACTACGTAGTAGTCCACGAGGGGCATGGATAGGGAATGAATAGTGTCATACATCTATCCCCCAGCGGTTGGTTGGTCGCTTGTGCGTCCATGCCGTCTGCGGCTCCCTCAGCTTACCATCCACTATTCAGGCTCTCTGCATCTCATCCCACGCACCTCACCCTTGGCTCTTCGCCTCACCCAACCATTGTACACTGTGCTTTGTACTCCCGGCTCGCCACTCTTTAAACCCCCCCAGACTTCCGGAAGCCCTAATTCCTTCTTCCTCCGCTTCTTCTCACTCAACCCAAGAAACTAGGAATAGACACAAGCTCAGGTACACTGATCGATCTTGCTATAGCACACTATCCCTTCACACGGGATTAGTACTTTCAAGACTCAGTTCCTTGTCACTAGCTATAACCTACCTTGTCACTTCAATCCAACTTTCAGCTTCAATTCTTTCGGCTGTCAGACTCTAGGGCTCTTCGACTCCCTTCGCACTGACGTCGATTGTCCTTTGAATTAAAGTAACCTCAGTTCTAAGACCGACACCCTCGTCAACTCAACATTGATGTCTGTTGACCTACGCACGAGCCTCAATTGCCTTGCTCATCCCGCGAGATTTATGCCTATCTCAAGAACTCAGTTGTCGAGAGTCCATACAGGAGATAGTATACAAAATATATCAAATAATAATATTTAAGGTAGGTAGTCCTATCTGTTCAGTTCCAAATGCCATAGCGTCGCGACTAATCCATGTCTGCTATTCTCAGCTATCGAAAAGGTTCGAGTAAACAAGCTGCCCAACATGGAGCACGTAAGCAACAGTGTTTCCCTCGTTGAGTTGAAGAAGCGTTCTCTCGTTCCGCAAAAATGGGAGGGCCAAGTCCGTGCTATTGGAATATCGGAGTATAAGGAAACAGCGCTATCTCTAGCGCAGGCCTTTGCTACTGATGAACTGGCACAGTACGTCCTTGATACGGACGACATGGTCGGTTATGATGACGAGACCAAGTGGCGGCTCCACGTTGATATCTTCAACTATATCGTGGCAGCTCACTGCTACAAGGGTGTCGTAACCACCATCGGGCCGGACTACGAGGGCGTGGCGCTCTGGTGAGTCTGCCATCAGATCAAGAGGGGCGACCGGGGAAAAGAAAACAAGGGCTCTAAGGCTACGTATACATGCTACGAGCCAACGATACGTAGCCTCGACTCAGGTTTTACTTGCTTCCCGGGGCTTACCTTGGTAAAAGCAAAGAAGTAAATGCACATAAGTGTCAACTAACACGTGACTCTTGCGACGCACAGGATGCCGCCTGGCAAGGAGATGGACGACTGGGTGACCATCGTCCGCAGTGGTATGTGGAGACTCTACTATCAACTGTCTGCCGAAGGCCGGAAGCGCTACTACCAAGAACTCATGCCGGTGCTCCACGACACCAAAGCCGAGGTCATGGGTGACAGAGACAACGACTGCTACTACCTGGTATATCTAGGCACCAAGCCCAATGGCCAGCGTAGGGGCTACGCGAGGAAGCTCATGGAGCAGATGGCCGCCAAGGTACGTGTTATAATATGACGAAGAAAAGGGAAATATCAGGAGATACAATAATAACTAGACCCTCTCATCATGCGACCTTACCAAGCATCAACTATAAATGTCTACCGATGTGCTGATTCTGTATAGGCTGACGCCGAAGGCCGAGCCATGTACCTCGAGTCCAGCTCGGAGAAGAACACGTCGTACTACAAGAAGTTCGGCTTCGAGTTCAAAAAGGACATCTACCTCGGTATCGATTGCAAGTCGCCAGTCCGTCTGAGCATCATGGTCCGCGAGCCGCAGAAGCTATCCAAATCGATCCCCATCAAGCTTAACCCCGGGTTCAAGAAGATGTAAGGGTTGTCCAATGGATGAGACAGCTTCTGTTGCCACCGCCGTTTTTTTTTCTCTTGCCGCTGTTATTATTACTGATGAAGATGACGCTGAAGTTGATAGGAGTCGATGAGTTATGATCTAGCTTGCGATGTGAAATTACTCGATTTGCTGAAAGTCTGAGTTTCCGTTTGCTTCTTGATTCTGCTTACTCTTCTGCTCTTTGCTTCTAGGGTCCTCGTGGGGTGGAAACCCCCGGTGTTACTTTCTCACACTCTTTTGACGATAAAATATTAGGGAATCCTTCACTTCTAGAAATTATACTACGTTTCCGCCTTACTAGGCCTCTCGGCGCTGCCCGCGTTGCGGTTACGGGTGCTTCGGCCCCGTCTAGTTTTGTCTCGGATTGGTACGTCGCTACTATTTACTTCTCGGGGGAGATTGGGGGTGCATATTATCTTAAATTCTGGTTCTTCGTTTTAGGTATCATTAGTCAATCCTTCGTATCTTGGTAGATAATATACACTACCTAAGAAAGCATTCATTATAGATGTTGGTTCCATTCTTAGCCAAACCCATGTGATCGATGTCCGCTTTATGCCTTATAATCTTTCATCATGCCAACAACGCCGGAACGTGACATGTAACAAAAATTTTGCCTTTGCCTCGATAGCAACCCGCTACTGAAACCACATTTTTAGAATCCTTCCAGGACGGCAAATGTCTCGTCGTCAAGAGTAGTGTAGATTTTGCCGTGACCTAGCAGCTCTTCGGCAGCAGCCATAACATCCTGGATCGTCATGCCTGTCTCCTTAGCTATGACGTGCATGTGGGTGCCCTCCCCGCTCTTCGACTGGTTGAGGTACTGGTACATCTTTCGTGCTTTAACCGACGCGCCTTGCAAGAACATAGCATCGTTGTTCTCTACGAACATGCTGTCGTCCTCGGCGGCATTTCCATCGCCGCCGCCGCCGCCGCCGCCTAACGCACCACGGGTGAAGAACAGATGCACGTAGGTAGCCTCGAGCAGGTGGTAGTTGACCTCGTTGAAGTCGGTGACGGGCTTGATGACGTGGACGCCGACGTGGCGCTTATTGCCAAAGCTGCGGAGGCGGCCCCAGACGCGGACGTACTGCTCCTCGTGGAAGGGGTTGTGGGCGGCGTCGTCCTGGCGGTCGGCGTCGAGCCACTGCTTGACCTCGATGATGCCGGTGCCGTCGTCGAGGCGGTAGGTGATGTTGGTGGTCTGGGGGCTGATCTGGCGGACCATGCCGACGAAGGTGACCTGAGAGACGTCGGCGCCGTCGATCCGGAAGCTGTTCTCCCGGTTGAATAACTGCTCCGCGTCGATGATTTGCTTTACCGTTACCGGCCGCAGCGAATCTTCGCTCACCGCGTTCGCCGCTTGGCTCCCGCTCTGGGAGCCCCCGAAAAAGCCCCCGTCGTTGCCGCCGGTCGCGCCGTATCCGCCGTAGCCTATATGGCGAGGTTAATATTCATGATATACATATAGATATATAGATGTGTGTGTATATATTATATGGACTTATACACTACAGAGATCTTGTGGCGGACACGTACTAGTCATTGTCTGTGGTATGAGGCGGTGTTTTGTGGAGGAGGAGAAGGGAGAGGAGGTGATGAGACGCGTTTAAAATGTCGAATTACGCGACTTAAACTTTTTAATTAATTTCTTTACTCAACTCTTAACTGCTCAGATTACCTACGCTAAATCGCGGGGTAGCTTGTGTAGCCTGCTGTGGCTTGTGCCGTGCACCTTTGGCCTGGGTACCTACCTACCTAGGTAAACAGCCTTTTAGGAGTACCTGGTTACCTAGGTACCTACATGATGTACTTACCCGGTATTTTAAAACTTTCTACCTACCTCATATCTTATAAAGTTACCATACAGTAAATTTCATTTCACACTGTCTCGTAACCAAATTAATGCACCAACAGACGACAAGTATGTAGTTAGAATGAAGGTATCACACATTATCACAATGCCATCGAACCGTAGAATCTTGTGATGGTGGAGTCCTCGGCTTCGATACGGATGATATCCGGGGTTCTGGCGCAGCGGAGATGGACCTCGGTAAGTGCTGTTCTGGGATGTACATAGGTACCTAAAGTCTACCCGCAGCTTCTGGAAGGAACGGCACCCCTGAATCAAGACCTAAAGCCAGCTGTTGCTGCTGTGCTGCAGCCCGAGCTACGTAGCCTACAGGGTTGGTTTAGGTTAGTTACAGTGCATGAGAACCTTCTACCATTCTGACATCAACATTTATGATTCCACATGCACGCACCTCCATACACTACATACATCCATACATCCATACATCCCATCCATCCCATACCTCCCCAACCGACCCGAACCGAACCGAAACTGAAACTTCCTCTCAATCAACTACGAGCCAGCGACTAATTCGCCGTCTCGTCTGCTTCTTTGTGCGACGTAGTAGCAGTACGACCCTCACACCTTTGAAGTTTATTGCTCTTTTTCATTTGGCCAATCGATCGCAACCCAAAGGGGAAACCACGTCAACATGGCGCAATCGACAGCTATGCCTGTGATCCCCCTGGGTAAGAATAATGTTCTCTTTCCCGGCTCTATCATTCGAGTGCCCGTACCTACAGACCGCTCCGACATACCCGCCTTGCTTTCGAACGTCTATGCCCGTGCTTCCAAAAACTCGAGCCGGGTCGATCAGATCCCCGTTATCTGCGTACCCATTAACTCGCCCATGTTGAATTCTCGCGGCCAGGCACTTCTAGAGGAGAAACCTGTCAACTACGAGGAGCTTATTAGTGCGAATAATAGCAGGATTAAGAAGGACCGGTTATTTGCCTACGGAGTATCCGGAAGGATCAATGCGATTCAGGGACAGAATGGTGCCGAGTTCAACTTGCTTGTGCAAGGAGTCTCGCGCGTATCTATCGAGAAGATCACCCAAGAGCGACCCTTCTTCGAGGCAAAGGTGTTCCCTCACACGGACCAGCTCGATGCCGAGGAGCTCAAGAAGCCTTCTTATCAAGAGCTCTTCGGTACCCTGAAGCGACTGTCGCGAGAACTAGTGTCCTACCTTCGCGTGTCGGCTTTTCTGCTATCCAGCGGTACCGCGGGGCTGAACCCTCTTCTAACGCGGAGGCTCGAACAGCTCATTGCTAGGAAAAACCCCAGCGAGGGAGGTTCGCTAGCCGACTTCATGATGAACGTGGTCGATACTTCTTACGAGGAGAAGCTCCAAGTTCTCGCCGCTCTTGATGTTGCACCCCGTATGCAAAAGGTTATTGAGATACTTGACCGCCACGTGGAGGACCTAAAAGGCCACATCAAGGTTACTACTATTAGTAGCGGAGCCATCCCTATCCGTATCGACCCCGAAGACATAGAGAAGATAAGAAACAGACGGAATATCAAACCACAGCTACCAGGGCTTAAGCCCCCGGCTGGTCTTAATCTCGGTAGTGGATCACCGTTCGGCATGTTTGGCGGCGGACCGGGCGATCAGCAAGATTCGGACGACTTACAGGATCTCGAGAAGAAGATCGCGGATGCCAAGCTTCCGCCAGATGCCGCGGCGGTGGCCGAACGCGAGCTAAAGCGGTTAAAGCAGATGATGCCAGCGCAGGCTGAGTATCAGGTCGTCAGGACCTATCTCGAAACATTGGCCGAGATACCATGGTCCGTCGTTACAGATGACCCAATTGGGGTTGGCACATTGGAGACTGCAAGGAAGCAGCTTGACAATGACCATTATGGAATTGAAAAGGTGAAGAAGCGCCTACTATCATACCTCACAATTGTGAGATTGATGCAATCAGCCAATAAAGCAGTGGAACATCAAATCAAGCAAGCCGAACAGGAGGTCGCCGACTTGGAGTCTACCAAGGACAGTGCAAAGGACGCCGCGGTCATCGATCCCGAATTGGAAGAGAAAATAAAGGCCAGCGGTCTTAAAGTTCAAATGCTGAGGAATAAGCGACAAGTCGAAAAGGCGCCTATCTTGCTCTTGGTCGGCCCCCCTGGTGTCGGCAAGACTAGCATAGCCAAATCTATTGCTACGGCCCTTGGTCGTAAATTCCACCGTATCTCGCTCGGTGGCGTCAGGGATGAAGCGGAAATTCGAGGACACCGGAGAACATATGTCGCCGCGATGCCAGGTCTGATTGTTCAAGGCTTAAAGAAAGTTGGCGTGTCTAACCCGGTTTTCCTGTTGGACGAGATAGACAAGCTGGGCATGTCTAACCATAATGGCGACCCTGCTGCGGCGATGCTCGAAGTGCTCGATCCCGAACAAAACCATGCATTCCACGATCATTACATCAACACTCCAATTGACCTAAGTAAGGTGCTATTCATTGCTACTGCGAATACCCTTGACACCATCCCTGGTCCGCTACTAGATCGTATGGAAACTCTGGAATTTTCCGGCTATACCACGCTTGAAAAGCGACATATCGCGTTGCGACACCTTGTACCCAAGCAAATTAAGGTAAATGGACTCTCGGAAGATCAGGTGCGCTTAAGCGAGGAGGTAGTATCCAAGATTATCGAGTCGTATACTCGTGAGGCAGGAGTTCGTAACCTTGAGCGAGAGATTGGTTCCGTCTGCCGCGCGAAGGCCGTCGAATTTGTGGAGGCCAACGACCGCGGCCAACCAGAAACATATCGTGCAGAGGTTACGCTTGAGGATCTCGAATCTATTCTAGGCATAGAGAAATTCGAAGATGAGATAGCGGAGAAAACCACGCAGCCGGGTATAGTTACGGGACTTGTTGCTTATAGCTCTGGAGGAAACGGAGGGATCTTGTTCATCGAAGTCCTCGATATGCCCGGCGATGGCAGCGTAGAGCTTACTGGCAATCTCGGAGACGTTCTGAAAGAAAGTGTCAAAGTCGCGAGGAGTTGGGTTCGCAACCATGCGTACGAGTTAGGGTTGACCCAGGATCCTACGGAAAACATCATGATGAAACGCAGCTTGCACGTTCATTGCCCGTCCGGAGCCGTACCGAAGGATGGTCCGTCAAGCGGAATGGCTCAAGCAATTGCACTCATATCACTTCTTTCCGGACGACCTGTCCCTCCAACGATGGCCATGACTGTAAGTTGAGCAAAGTTCCTATGTCTATCGACGAGATACTAATACTTATGATAGGGCGAATTTCAACTCTCTGGCCACGTAAAGAGAGTCGGGGGAATAAAGGAGAAGTTAATCGGAGCATACCGCGCCGGAGTTAAGACGGTGCTGTTACCGGCACAAAATGAGAAGGACGCGAGAGAAGTACCATCAGAAGTAAGAGATGGACTAAACATTATCTACGTCAGGTATGTATTTGCTATGCCGTTTCCTACCTACCTAACCTATCCCCCGTCTATGTTTTTCCATCTCGCTAACTAATATTCTTTTAGTCATATTTGGGAAGCCATCCGTCACATCTGGCCTGATGTAAGATGGCCTGAAGAGAGTAATTTTCCACCAGTGCAGTCTCGCCTATAGTCATCTATACCTTTCAGTATAATGTTTGTTTCTCTAGCATGTATGCCATTATACGGCGTTGGGTAGCATTACTTTAGTGAGAGCCATATCATCTCAGGGGGCGTTGAAAATAGTATGTTTCTAGGTAGATATGGTTAATAGATGCATCATCTGCAAAGTTCCACGACGTTAGCGCCCTCCTCCTTCATCAAGCGCAGATTACCTGTTCAGGGCGGGTTTTCGTCTTATTTATCGCTTTGCCACGATCGTACCGGATCAGTGTCGGTAGATCTGACGCTATACTACGGCCGGCACCCCAGACGCAACTTGACGTCGCAAGACGTTTCCTGTCGTCCTCCGCCGCATCGGGCCACCAAAGCCACCAGATCGCTGTGAGACCTCGCACGGCATAGCCCCTTCGCCGGAAGAAGCGAGTATATGACCCGCCACAAACATTCTCGACGTTCTATCCCCAAGGTTGGGGCGCACGAGATTATATGCCCGCGTGAGACAAGATGTTTCGTGCTGCTATCCTGGCCCATCCCAGAAGATTGGCCGAGGTCTCGTCTCTGCTTCCATTCCATGTCTCTGGCGCCATCATTACGCAGAGTCTCATTACGTACCGCGGAGATGGTAGGCCGGATACGTACAGCTCTCCCCGTCAAGGCCTATGGATCCCACCTGTCGGAAGATAAACGCGGAGAGACACAGGCAGACGTTCAGATAGACGGGCTCGGTAAGACTTGCATGTCTTAGTGCTGCGGTCTTGTGTGGTACGCAGAACAGGATAAGCCAGTGCATGACCTCGAGTCGAGTCGTACTTGTGATATCATCGGCCAAAAGGGTTGGTTCTAGTCAAGCTTGACACTTGATACCGTGTAAAACATCCATCTATATTCCAAAATCCCCCTAGGGTTTCTTTCGTGCCTGTCTATGTTTCCAATTCGAGACATGATAGCTAGATGGGACACGGCTCCATTCGTCATAACAGGGATTACAGGACTGCGAGGCCCATTTGTCGACGCATTGGGATTGTCATATCATGTCATGTCAAGTCTGGTCCCGAGACAACTCGCCTAATTCTTTTCTCCTACCCGGTAAATGGGCAGGGAGGAGTGGGAAGAGGAAAAGGAACAGGAGCAGGAAAAGGGGAAAAAAGATCCGGTCCCAAGCAAGCGAGCACCCGCTCGAACCCGCGTCCCTGGCACGCCATTTTCCCCATGTACGTACATTAGGTGCGTACGCACAGAGCGAAAATCACCACACACGGCCGTAAGCGAAAGGAGATTATAGGATTAGGCCTGGGAGACGAACGAACGAACGAGCCAACAAATTCCCGCACTCCCCCCCCTAGCCTGGCTGGCTACTACGGACGGACCACAGACTAACTGCACGGTTACCGAAGACCTGGGAAACCCGCGCCAGCGGGCCAGATGTCAGTTAGCCGATTTGTGCGACGTTGCGAGAGGGAAAAAACGAGAAAAGGGAGAGGCGAGGATTTGAGAAAGAAAGAAAGTTGACTTACTTGCTTGTTTGCTTGGCCTGGGATCCCATGGCTTAGGGACGAGGGACGCAGACGTTCAGGTACACGATGTCATACCGAAGACTGTCGAGCGGCGAAGGCACGCGCGAGATATCTGTTTACCTGTCTTCCCCTTTCGTCTGTGTCTACGGTGTCTGGCTAACCATTCTGTGCTATGCTGTGTATCCGTGCCTCTTTTGCGCAACTCTGTGACGCAAACCTCTGTGCAGCGATGCTTCGTTTCAGGTTGAGGTCACGAAAGGGACGAGGATTAGTTCGTTCGTTCGCTCGCTCGTTCGTTCATTGGCAATGTAGATACCTAACCTACCTACCTAGATATCTACCTCCCATCCAACGTACCTACACAACACTCACTCTCTCGCCGTGCACCGTGCAGTCCGTCCGGGGTCCCGGCGAGATGGAAGGCGGATGGGCGGGACGATACCAACCAACCAACCAACCAACAGCAACGGCTCGAAATCGCGATTATGTCTCTGGCGTCAAAATTCTCCTATGCCCGTTTCCACCAACCCGTCTTCCCGTCCGTCTCTGGTTCCCCAATCCGTGCGCTCCCACCAGCCGCATCGCGAGACACGGGGGGTTCCCTCATGTCTCTCGTCGACTGGATCGCGGGTGCCTGCAGGGCTTGGGATCAGCGGGTTTGTTCTTCCCTTTCCCCTTTCCCCTTTCCCCTTTTCCCCTTCCCCCTACTTGATTGCTTGCTTGCTTATCTTACATGATCTGATTTGCCGTGCCGGCGCCCCGGGTCGAGTCTACCGGCGAGTTGGGAGAAACGCGCGTGGGCGCATGCGACCCTTGAGCATAGCAGCCGGCCAAGTTTCAGCTTGTCTCGCGGGTGGTAATGTCTCTGTTTACTATAACGCCTCCATGGCGTGTAAATATCTACTATTATCTATCAACATGTAGACTATAGAAAACGACTGACAAGTATAATCTTTTATCGTAGGACTTCAGGGATAGGATTTCATGAGCAACACACGTAAGACCATAATTTATCCAAATACTATGCAGTAGGACTGGTAATGTCTTCTTGATATTAAGTTATTAGAGCCATATATATAATGACTACAATGATGCGAATAAGTAAGTACCTAAACTATACTATAGTCGACGGCTATCAAGTGAAAATGATTTGTTTGACCATTCCTAATAACTACCTAATCTAATTAGTAAACATACAAAATACTAAAGCCAAGCATATTTTAATTTTTATTTATTCTCACACATGGGAGCTCATGATATCCTTACCTGAAAGCAAAGCCCGAGGAGGTCACCATGTCTAAAGGTCACACTGTCTTGATCAATTCTCCGGGGTTTCCCCCGATATGAGCGACGCTTCTCGGAGCTACCTGTTGATAATGATGAAGGTATAGGGACTTATGTATTAGCACGGTCCCGGCGCTAGTCAACGACCCGAGGCTCGTCGAACCCGGTAATAGGGAACGGGTATAATATACTTAAGTGGGCTGGCTATGTAAGAGCAAATATTCATATGACACCCACGATACACACGTAGGAATGGAGTAGGTTCCACTAGCCTAAGCTTAGAATGTAGTTGAGTCGGCGAGCATATGTATTGGATCCATTCTCGGCTTCGTGGGCCGTAGTCGCGATAGTGTAATTTCGTGTAGGGAGCCAAACTGCCGGGTTCGATAGACTAACGTGCGCAGGCCGTTTCAGAACCCGCGCAGCACGCTCACCAACTCCTGACTACGCACGCGAGGACGGGGAGTTCATCGCAACCCCTCGTAGCGTAGCTAATTGCCCTAGCGGTATCGAAATAAACCGACTAACTAACTTTGAGGGGCCCATCTTGAGCTATCTGAACCGGATAGAAGACCCGAAATAATATCCCGCTTGCTCGTGGCGCCGCATGGTACATAGTATGTAGAAGATCCTGAGATGCCGGATCTGTTACCTCTTGCATACGCTTGAGTCTTGCCGAGATTGACTTGAATGTTTGGAGAAACTCTGTGCCAACTCTCAGGTACAACTTGATGACCCTAGCTAACCTAGGTTCTGAGCTGAATCAGGGAGCAGAACTAAGACATAATACGATTCCGCTTGCAGCAAAGCCACATGCGGTGGACTAGATTGGTCGCTACTTGGTGCGGCTTGCACTAGCTGCCGTATCGTACATAATACAAGCTTCGGGCAATTTGATAGATGACGTTTTGATCATAATATGCCTCTCCATCTCATCGTATAGTCGATGCTACCGTCTGACCGTCAACGTTGTTAAGGGGAAGAAAATGAGTAAACCCTGTCATGTGTTCTAAGCCAAGGGGTATTGCGAGACCGGCTGAATACCGGGGACGTCAGGCTCATAGACACAAACTGGGTTAAGACGCCTCAGGCTATGCCACATGTGGGAACACTACCAAGGTAGGTCAAGGTAGGTCACCTTCCTGGCTCGAGCTCGGAAGAAGCAATTCGACTCTCCCTGCATCAACGGTCTAGACGGGCTTGACGCCCAATCAAACTCCAACTTCTTGAAGCCAACTCAACTCCGCACGACGGACCAGTCCATTTGAGCGGTTCCAAGTATTTTAAGCGGTGACTTTTGTTGCGGGATGTACTTGCAATAGGACAAGCCCCCAAACTACTGTATCGGGGAGATACTGAGCAAGAATAAAATATGAGACAAGATCGAAAATGTTATGGGACAAAACGTGGTTCGGTGCTGCTCCTTTAATCTGTTTCAGGGTTCGACGTCTTGCTGGGTTTGGGGGACGCCGAATGCAACGCTGCACATACATGAGACCACGGTAAAGAGATCGTGCTAAACCTTTATCCGCTAGAGGAGAACGGGTAACCATACGTTTGGGAATAAAATTTCCAGAATGTGGGGAGTTCGGCGCGACTCCGAGGACGGTGCGCTTCTGATATAGGCAGGGCAGCTATATTATAGAACTGGGGACGAGCTCCAGAGTCAGTTTGGAACGCACGATGTCACAGTAGATAGATTGAATCTGTAATGTATGGGCTTAGGTTGGCCGCCGAGTATTCTCCAGTCTTCGGTTCGACAGTGACACAGCTTGTAGCATCTAGGTAACGCCAAACTCGCAGCGATTCAGGAATAAATGTTTAGACGTGCAAGCAACATAAAGTTAGGGCATCTTAGGGCATCGAAAGAATGCACGTAGAATGTTCGACGTCGGTGGTTTATCGGCTGCTTGACCGGTTCTGGAAATTCATTCGTAAGAATCTCCTGCTTGGGACTCCTGAACCACGAAATAATATGCGCTGGGACGATGGAACGCGCTCAACAGCCGCCTCGTGTTCCAACCCACCCAAACCTCACTTGTAGACTTGTAGGTATGGCTATGAACGGAGAAGAGGCCTTTCAGGGCAATTTGTTCCACTACAGTAAGTGTAAGGAGCAAGTCCCCGGTACAGTACGTAACTCCCCACGTCGCTTGGCGGCGCGAGCCAGTCAATATATTTCCTGGTCTTTAGCTTGGGTATTAATTCACCGGAGGAGGCCTGGTTGGCAGTCCTAGCGTAGCCTTCCCTGCTCATGCCACGCCGATCTTCTTAGGGCCAAGTATAATCGAAGGGCCGCCCCGGACCTCCTATCTAAGCCCCTTTTATTCTTGTACCGCCCGGATGGTACCAGTTGCCGTTTCAACAGCTATGGATCTCTCAATTTTATTACCTAGACCCAGACCCAGATGCTGCCGTGGGTATTTTGGGGCAATAATTATCGTGGCCTTTTCGAGCAATATCCCTTCAGCTGTTGCTTCAAGCTACGCTTTTGCTTGACGGCCGGGGAAGTCAAGGTCCAGATCCCATCGGGGATGACGGACGAAATTGGTCCCTGCTGAAGAAAATCTCCGTCTGGTTGGCATAATAGTCCGGCGGCATTTTACGCATAATCTTGTAATTACGGATTGATCGCGTGCGACATAATCGTCCAAGGATCACATTTTGATCCAGGCGCATAAAAATATTCCGACTAGGCGAGATGAATTATACTGCTCTTCTAAACGATATTTTTATATCGTCATCGCATTAAGGACATTGACGTGAGGGTAACTCGGAGTTATCCCGGGCTCGTCTTTTTTGATCCGTACACTGCCGACTAACAAACGTTAGCGTATAGACCAAACGACTTTTGATTGTCCCGTCCTACCATCATCTCCACTAGTAACACATCTGATAATAGCTTAGTTCGGACTAGAATGTACTAGGGTTACTATGCATCTCGGTTACATCTTGTGGGTACGGTGATACGAGCACGGTTAATATACATCTGCTATACATTTGCCTCGGCTTCGCAGATACAACCGTTGAAAGTAGTTTGCGAAGGGTTCAACGTTGGCATTGACGTGCACACTTCGTTTATCCGGAACTGAACACTAAACGCAAGCAGAATCGATAGTGGCATATCTAACAGCCATGGTTTTAACTACCCAAAGTAGTCTCCGTAATGGTGTTACCTTATGTTGCCATATATAGTCGCTGACGGGCAATATGTGCTCAGCAAGCTTAGACGATATATAATATATAATATTAGGGCAGGATCGTTAGTTCGGGTTGTAAGATGACGGCTTCTTTGAACTTGACCAAGTGCAGCTGGACCAAGTGGATGCTCAACTGTCTATCTGTTTATCTAATGTATGATAATGGTCTGTGCCTTTCCCACTGGGATGGTCCAAGAGGGTTGATAGAGTGCTTAAACGCGAATGATCTACCTTCCGGGCGGGAGCACTAACTACGCCGGTACCTAGCGGCCACAGACCGCCCAATGCTCTCAGGAGAGGGCATGGTATGTATGTAGGAGGCAGTTAAGCTTGTCGGAGCCCCACTAGGTCAATAACGTCTGGGTTAGTGTGTTTGCACAGGCCAAATAATAACCTGGCACCGAGGATTAACTCTAGTGTACTCAGAATCGTGCAGCAATATCGCACGTTGGACAATGGCCGCGCAGTGGTGCCCGACTTGGCAGTTTAAAGCCTTTAGGTAACTGTACTTTACTTCAGTCCTTTTCAGGACTTCAAGTGAGGTAAGTATTGAGAATATCGACTGATGCGGATGTGAGTAAATGAAACCCCAGTTCAGATATATCCACAGTCGACAGCTTGGATTATCAAATTTTGACCGCCTTTGGAAGCGACCCCTTACACATCTCTTTGAAGCGTTGGACTCGGACAGCAATTATTGATATTGGACGGCTTATTATGGCAAGGATGGGGAACAAGGATGTCAGCCGTAAATGTGTGTATGTGGGTGTGTTGAGAATCTCGGTTGATAACCTTGGCGAACAAAGAGCCTCTGCTGTACGTAGTGTATGTACATGGTAGCGACATCTTTCCCACACGATCTGATCTGGTTGGGGTCCGGAAGAAAGCCCTTGTCCAAAGTAATAACTCGAAGGGGGCATGACTTGACTTCTTAGGACATAGGTCCACTTAGAATATTAGAATAGGAGGTCAATACACACACCGATGTGGATAAGATGAGACAGAGCCCCGGGGTAGAAGTAGGGTTGCCATGTGCTATCTCCTGCTTGAAATAATTGAATGGAGATGACGCAAGACGAAATGGTTGTAAAGGTGAAGAATTTCTATTAAGGCAGGGAAGACGAGTAAAGGTTACACAAATAGATACGCTATTGCAAGTATATTTATTTGTAAGGCAGGTAGGTGCAGGTAAAGTATGGATTATTCGGGAAGGTGCATTGGCTTCTGCCACAACCGCAACTTCCAAGCCCACCACGGGAAGAACGAAGCGTTCCGGGAGCGGAAAATCAACCCAACATTTACATCTTCTACCTGTTAAATACTTG